TTCGATTGAGCCTGTACAAATAAAGTAATTAATAAAAAAAAGGTGAATTTAGCTCTCTAACGCCAGGAAAATTAGTTCAGCTAGTACTAGAAAGGCTCCATCAGCCATTAGAAAGACCAACTACAAGTCGCTTCTTTTCCTTGTGCTTCTTTCACTTCCGTGATCCCTATTGAAAGTTATCCTATCAAATCCAATACAAACACTCCCTATGGTAGCAAGCATCATAAACGTCAAAATCAATCAATCAGCCATCATGGATCACAAACTTGGTGCAAATCTATCTTTTTCTAGAGACTATCAGCTGAGCTTGAGCTTGAGCTTGATTGACCGCCCACGGTTGCTACTATGTTACTGCCAGATCAGCTGTAATTACACAGAGAACCAATAGACGATGCTTGGGACTAGCAATCATCCTCAATGTGTAAAAACTGGTGATCTTAAATTAGGCAATACCAGCGCCGGCCGCGCCCGGACACAGGTCAAGAAAGGAATGGGAAGGATTGTGTTGACATGACACTCGCTTTGATGGAAGCCGAGAACACCTCTGCACTTCCACGAGGAATCACTGGGATGTTGGATAAGAGGGTTGGGTTTGCAGCAGGGTTCGTTTTGGTAAACGATAAGCTGAATTGATGTCCTAACGATCATATAACGCGAAGGAGCTTGGGACTAAACCCACGGTCTTCTGCTCAGTAAGCAAAAACGTTTGCCACAAGGCAGACGAGCACCTTTTTAATCACCGAGTTGCTGTTATTACCATGTAGTCATATTAACAAATAAAACGATTGACGAATCTTGAATGTGGATGGGCCTGAGATTAGACTCATGATGTTCTGCTCAGTATTCAAAAAAGGTTGCTCTAAGGCCACCGAGCCCCTCATATCACATAATAACGTTGCTCAAATTTGTGTATCCATTCAAACCCGGAACCAACGACAACAACGAGTTTCGCTAAATACACGATACACAAGCGATTTTACCATAAATCTTCTTGATATGTAAGGACCTGAGACCGCGTTTTTCTGCTCAGTAGCAGGCCACTGTAACCGACGATCTTTCAAATCCGAAAACTAAAAACTACGAAAAAGTACTTAGGCCTTCATTAAGTTCCACTTTCACGCGACGTTCAATGACAGGGTCCTATCCAGGATTACATCTGAAAAATCCAAATCTGGTCAACGCCCACCCTAAACCTAAACCTGTTCTAATCCACCTGAAATGACTAACGAATGGAAGACTTTGACTACCCAGCCATGCAATAGTCTCATTCCGTGCCTTATGGCAACTTGATGATTCTATTGCGCTCATCTGTTGGCACCACCCAGGGGAGACTTGGTCCTGTACCCAATGCTTTACCTATCTCCATTCCACTCAGCTACTCGCAATTTCTTGCGATATAGTGGGTGGAATATTATTATATGAGACAATTCAATGCAAACGTCTTTCCAAATTTGGCAGATCGACAGGTAATCGGTGAGTTACCACGATAGTTGCTATTCAACAACTCGACAACGTCCCATCGTCAACGCCTGCTATGAGAATTTCCCATTTGCAGACGCCAACGAAATGACGTCATCGAGCTATCGATCAACTACCCTGGTTATCGCCTGGTACCTTATAGCACGATGCTAGGAGGCGAACCGGAAGAATCGATGAGCTACCTCTCCCCCTATCTTTTTCTAGAGACTATCACAGGCAAAAAACCGAACTGATTCGAGATTTGGGCGTAATAGCTTTTGTAAACAAACACTTCAGTTGCGAAAAAAAAGCTCAATATCGAAAACTAATAACACAATAGGGCAGAGGAATGATTCCTTTATCATTTGGTATAGTTTGTTTATGAGGTTGAGCTTGGCTTCGCCAGAAATCGGCGATTGACGTGTTTGTTTGCAAAAGCAATTCGACAGTGAGCATGCATAAGGGCGTAAACGCGATGATCGATTCTCTTCGTCGATTTTCTCTTATGTTAATAACTCGCTAGATTTAACGTTTCTCGGTGCGTTTGCTGTTGCTTTTGGTAGCCAATACAACCTGTTACAACTCTGCATTAAACAAATTCTAGAAAATTATTTCGCTTAGCTGTAGCAATGCAAAGAGAATCGATCATCGCGTATACGCCCTTATGCATGCTTACTGTCGAATCACTCCGGAAAAGACGCAATGAAGATTGTCTAATCTTGGGTCTATCCAGCATTTTACGAGCGCTTATGGCCGTCACAATCTGACTGAGTTTTTGGTAGGGAATATATGATTTGACGTCTGGGTGGTGTCGTTTGACGTGTAAACGTTCAAATTTGATCGTTTACACGTCAAACGACACAACCCAAACTTAAATCTTGTGTTCCCTACCAGAAACTCAGTCAGATTGTGGCAGCCATAAACGATCGTAAAATACTGGACTTAACATGTACGAGCGTCAATTTTGACATAAAATTAAGTCAATACAGACGTTAAATTCAGCTTAATTTTACACGACATGTTTATTTACGTCTCATCCGTTAAGTCAAACATGGTTTCCTTCACGTGTAAAATGGATTATTTCTAATAGCGACGAAACCGAACTTTTTGTCAGTGCGAACCTCAACCTGAGGTAGGTTTTAAAAACAAACGATCAAACTGACGTATGTCAGAAAACATGCATACCCAACATTGAAAATTGAACATGTACAAATCCAAATGTCGATCCCCGGAAGAAAACTGAGACAAGTTCCTGTATCTTTCAGCACATTTAACGGCATTCCCCGTAATGGATTAACTCCAAATCATCCCAAGCTGACGTCATTAGTCATCAGCAAAAATCGCCACCGAAACACAAACATTAACATCCGCGCGACACATTTCGCTTCAATTGTTCATCCAAGATCCAGCCCCTTAACCCCATTATTTGTCGTCAAACCATTCGTCGTTGTCTTGCTCGTCTTGGCCGAAAATCGGGCGGCGTGTTCTGCATATGGCATCCACATGAGCTGTCCGATCCGCGGTCGACGCGTCTCGTAAATTAATAACAATAATCTTGTACCCGCAACTACAAACAGTCAAACTGCCGTCGTCGTCGTCGTCTGCGCATATCAGAAGGATCGGTTGAGCGGGGGGCGAAAGGGCGGGATCTGGAGCGGTCGGACAAAGTCGCCTGTTCAATTTCGCTTCTTGCCTGTTTTTTTTTTTTCTGCTTCGCCAGCGCTTTTTTGCTCATCGCGAAAAAAATAAATAAACTGCTACCAAGCACGAAGAAGAACCCCGAAGCCCCGGAGTGGTGTAGTGGCCGCTTCGTGTATATTTGTATGAATATCCACCGGAATATTTATGGCTGACTTCAATCAAAACATATCGGAATGTTTTCTGTGCGGTGCGCATTTGCAATCGTGAAATGAAAGGAACGATCGAGCACGCGATCCAAGATGCCCTGGAATATAATATGTGCGAAATCATTGTGCTCGCGCAGCTACTTTGTTCGGGGTAGTACTGAAAGCTTTTTGATTGATCGGGATTGGCGAAATGCTGTCAAATATATGCTCAGTATTGGTTTTTTTTTTTTTTTCAAACCCCGTAACGTCAGAATGTCTTCACTGCTCATATGATCCACCGTTTGCCATTCTATCCAACGACCCCTCTCAGCTTACCTTGTTTCTAGTTCGCTCAATTAATTACCATAATTGCACGAAATCTCGGTTCAATGTACCAGTTCTCATGCTACACGGCACGGCTTGTGAACCGAGAAAGTAAATTAAATTACATTTTATTTATATTTAATTAATACGCTCTCGGTGGTGGTGTGTTCAGGTTACCGATTTGCGGCGGCTCTACCCGTTCGGTTCGCGAGTGCAATATAATGATGGCAAAAGGTAGCGCGAGCTTTGACTTTTTTTGCTCTACCTACTTCTCGGTAGTCATCGTTTTATTGTTGTTGTTGTTGTTGCATCAGAGCAGAGCGCACACCTCCTCTAATCCAGATTTGCTCAAACAACAACAGCAACAACAGCAGCAGCAGATGAGAGAGTACACGATTTTTTAATAAAATGCAAATGAGAGTTTAATTCCATGTCGAAGAAGCTCGGAGGCTCCAATTTTCGCACTGAGTCACGCCAATCTTGTGCTCGCTCTATGTGTTGTTTTAGTTTTTGCTCACGGCGAAGAGCAAGGGCTGCTTTAATTATTATGACGTTGTGTTGTACTACAACGAGCGCTCATCATCGCAGTATGCCATGCGATGGTTTCAGCGCAGCGCGCTCACATCTATTGACATCTTCTCGCTCGTTTTCAAAGCAGCTTGCTTGGCTTTCTTGCGCTTGGTGGATGCCCTTTTAATTGAATCAGGAAGTGGCTCATAATATTTACGAGATTATTTTTCACTTTAAAGCAGTCAATTTATCACTTTTAAATTACTCACAACGAGCCGTCGCAGTCATCGAAGTTCAAATGTCAACGACATCTCAATTTGGGCCGCCGCCATAGCTGCCACAGCAAGTCGATTTGTCACATTTTCTGGTTGGATAGGAGTTTTCCTCGTTTCTTGCGCCAATTTTTCCACAATTCACGAAGCGGCGGCCGTTTTGTGTTCGCGTCGGTTTTCCAGCTGTGTTGATTCATGCCTCCTGATAAGGAAGTTGTCGACAGCGCCACATATAGACACAGATAGAGAGAGAGGGCGCACGACACAGACGGTGGGGCAGGGCTAGGGCACCTTTTTTATTATAATTACCTTTATTTGTGATAACTGGAACAACGTTGGTAGTCGCGGGCTCGGTTCCCTTGTTTGGTTCCCGTTTCGCCCGTTCCGAAAACCGGTTTTCGCCCGTTCTTGTGCGCAACGTCGCTGTGCACAAATAATTGGCCCGCAACAGATTAGCCAAATCGAACCACCGCACTGCCACCAAACCATGTGCGGTTCGTCCATTTGAATAAAATTGAATAAAACATAGTTGATCCAGTTCGGCGGTTGGTTTCGTTTTTTTTCCGATCAAATCTCTAATTGATTGTTTTCTGTTTCCATATCTTTGCAGGCTTTCTGTCGTGTTCTCCATCGCCGTGTAAACATGGAGGATCATGCATCAGTAAACCGAACGGAGCATCCTACTGCAAGTAAGTACCCTGAACCAAAAGAAATCTCGGTGACCCCGCAGACACACTGTCATATATGGCACTAACTTTCGCTTTCCGGAATCTCCCCGAACTCGAACCGATTCGAGAAACGATTATCGAACGTTTATTGACGAAATCGAGTTTGGCAATAATAACAATAACAATCACAATAATAAATGGGCAATCGAGAGGGCGCTTCTGGCATCCCGCAGTAGCGAAAAAAGCGCAGCTGTCAGACTTGAGTTAGCGAAATGGTCGTTATTAAAACTATTAAAATAAAGCAAAAAAAAAACTGCATGCTCCGCGGGTTCAATTAAAATAATTTTCAGTCACGATTCCTTCTCTCCACCACGTGTGAGAGTGTGTGTGTGTGTATGTGTGTGAGTCTGTTGTTGGTTTATGAACAGCAACATTTGACAGTCGGTCGCGCACGCTGGCTAGACCGACTAGACGCCGACGACTGATTATGATAGGATGATCTCAAATATAAAGAAGCAGAGTGCCCCAATTGCCAGCGCTCCGCCACCGAACTGCACACTATACTTTTTGTCAATTGAATTGGCGACGGGGAAACCTTTTATGCCGCCGTATTTATTGACATTAGTCGTCGTCGTGCGATTGACTGCTACCGCCAAGGGGTTTCCCTTTTGATGGCTGACTCGTGCCTTTGTTCAGTGATTGGATTTAACTTCTCGATGGTTACTTAACTTTCTTGCCGTCGCGGTTTGGCAGCGAACGCAATTTATATGATAGGCGGCTTTCTTCACGTCAGAAGGTTTCTGAACAATTTTTGGGTGCGATTTGAATGTATTGTTCAGTACTCACACTGTACCAAAACATCATCCTCTGTTCGAATGAAGCCTCAGACCATTCAAATCGAAACATCGAAATCGCTTGTTCGAATGATAGCTGCAACCGGATGACGGTTGTTTTGTAATCAGATGATGCTCCTCTCGAATATACGAGAATATACGATGAGCATTGATGCGAGAAGCGAACGTAATGCTCTCTGTAGAATGATTGTCATCCCAAATTGAAATGCATATGGTATTGGTTCAACCCCATAACGCAAATGATCCAAAACGATTATGTAAATAATTCCATCGAACGTCATTTGCTGATCTGAGCTGACAAACGAGCTGGAAACATAGTCATCGCTATCAGAGGTGGTACGAACATTGGTAAAACGTGGAAACCGAAGACGGTCTATTCCGTGGTGGAGGAAGTTTCGATTTAAAGCATTTGCAAGTCATACTTTTCTTAAATTGTTTTTCCTCTGAGCGCTGTATGTTTTATAGCCAATTTTCAAATAAATATAATCCTTTATTTGGGTGACAGTCATATGAATGCTCATCAGCTAGTGACGAATTTAACCATAAGGCAATCATCCAAAATTCGAAAGCATATTTTAAAGGGCTCGGGCAATGCAATAATCATTCGAAGTAATGCGGATGGCTTCAACAACAACCAGACATTTTGTAGGAAAATTAACCGGTTCGATTGAGAACTGCGCCGAATTCAATCTTCGATTTAAAAAAAATCGACGCTGTAACAGGAAAGCATTTCTGGTAGAGCTAGAATTTTGGCACATTTTTACGAGCAGAAGTTCCCACCGACTTCTTCTTCTTCTTCCTCTTCTTCGCCTCTCAAGCTTGTTGCATATCGCATATTAGCTTATAGCGTGCTCTCAACTTAGTGTTCTAGATGCACTTCCACAGTTATTAATTGAGAGCTTTCGATGCCTGTACCATTTTTGCATTGGTATAATTGTGTGGCAAGTCCAATCATAATTCTATGCCCAGGGAAGTCGACCGGACCGGAAATTGAACCCAGCCACCTCCAGCATGGTCTTGCTTTTTAGCTGCGCCTTTACCGACTGAGCTAAGGGAGGACGCTGTCGTTCTTTATTCGAAAGGAAAATATAGTTTACGATGGGTTGAAGAATAAGTGCTTTCTTTGCAAAGCCACGACGTACCGGCGAGGAGTATTCTTGCAGAAGTAGAAGAACCATTGACGTCTAGATGGGAATATCGTATGGCTTGTATTTCTTCCCGAAACTTTTCTGAATCATATGAATTCGAATTAATTATTTCAAAACCAACTAATGGAACTTGACACGAATAAGTCATTTAGTAGAGAAATACTGTATCAGGGCAAGATTCCTAACCGAGCTGGATTTTAGCATGGTAATGGGTTCTCACCTAAAAGGAGCATCAGCTTTTTCGACGTTGCGCGACGTTCTATTATTTGATTTACTGGATTTAGCCTGGAGTTTTTAACAAGCTTGAGGCGAGCTCTGGAAAACACTTGAAAGCTTTTTAGATTGTTCTTAATGTTTTGATAGTCATCTGAATTCGTCTTGAAAAAACCGTCAGAGCTTGAACACTGGAATGTATGAGGAATGAAATTATATGACTTCTACTACTACTGAACTTTGCGGTCTACAAATGCTATGAAAATGCCCTTGAATAAATATGAACATACTCTGAAAGCCTTTCTGCAAGACAAGATCTTCGAAGGGATTATGGCTACTTTACATACATACATACACATACTCTGAAAGCCTTTCAGACATGTTCTGGAATTTCTTTGTATTTATCGTGAAATTCGGATGAGTTTATCCTAAAAATCCATTCATCTATATCAACTCATGGGTCCAGCAAACTCCCTGCAGTTGTTCTGGAAATATTATGAACTTTAAGTCAACTGACCAAGGTCGGGAAGTCGTCAGAACACACTATGAGGGCGTAGAAAGTTTCCTGAGCATGACCCAGACGTATTCGATGGATTAGACCGATCTGGGTATTCTGGATTTGAATTTGACTTCGGAGTCACCATACACTTGACCTCAAACTATTTTTCTATAAATCTTCTAAACTTGAAGTAAGCTGGCCAAGAGCGGAAAAGCCATGTTATAGAATTGCATTTGACTCGGAAGCCATACATTTTCTTCAATAAAAGTCTTCTGAACATGTCCTTAAAGTCATCTGAATCTGTCCAACAAGCTCTCTACATTCACCCTGTAAATTTTCTGAACTTGAAGATAACTGACCAAGGTCTGGACGTTTTCACTATGAAGGTCATTTACCAAATTCTAGATGTGTAGTTGACCTGGAAACCATCTGTATCCACCCTGGAAGTCGGCCGAACATGCCTTGGAAGTCATCAGGATCTGTCCAGCAAGCTCCCTGCGAATGCGTTGTAAACATTACGAACTTGAGTTCAACTGAACAAGCTCACGAAGTCTTCTGAACACACCATGAAAGTCATTTACCTTGCTATTCTTGAAATGGATTTGACTTGGAAGACATCTGTATCTACTCAGAAAGCCTGCGGAACATGCTCTTGAAATGATCTGATCAGAGAGCTCTCTGTTCAGTCCGCATCGTGCTCTCTTGCCGTGCGGATCTATTTGCTTTTTGCTGAAGGAAGTGTTACTACTACCTAAAGCTACAACAAATTTAAACAGCACTTTTCAGTGCTCAACCTGTAAAAATTTTCTACCTTGTTCAACTCTTATTCCTCTTCGATCCTTGTTTGGACCCTACCCGAGGTAATCCTTCTTGGATATCGATTTGGAAAATTCCTCTTCGATCCTTCAGATTCTTATAGTAATCTGCTTGGAAGTCGATTTGGATAAAAATTTACTGCCGCCATGGCGCCTAAACGCAAAAGAAAGGGGCAAACTCTTGACCCCCCTTCTGATGAAATTAATTTGAGTAATCAATTTGATTTGCTCACGGATGATGAGAATGATCCATCATCCAAGAAAAATTCTAGTAAACTTTCCCGGCTTAATGCCAAGAAGGAAAAGATTCCCCCTATTGTGATAACCACTACCGATTTCCATGCTCTTCGCATGGAACTTTTGAATTTCGTGAAAGTTAAGTTTTCACTACAAATTGGACGTCGGGGTGAATGCCGTGTATTGGCTGAAACCTTGGACGGATTTAAATGTCTTCTCAAGTATCTTACTGAGAAGAAGCACAAATTTTTTACTTACGACACCAAAACTGAACGTGTGTTCAAGGTTGTCATGAAAGGACTGCCCAGTGGTGAATCCCTGGATCAGATCAAAGATGAACTGGCAAAATTACTTGGAGTTGTGCCACTCCAAGTAATCAAAATGAAAATGAAATCCCGTCCTGGCGATTCGCGCAACGGGATTTCTAATGATTTTTATTTAGTTCACTTCAAGTCTAGTGAACTAAACAACCTTAAGGCCTTAGAAAAAGCTAGCCTTATGCTCCATGTCCGAGTGAAGTGGGAACACTTCAGGAAGACTGGAGGAAATTTCCAAAACCTCACCCAGTGCCGTAAGTGCCAGGGATGGGGTCACGGAACTAAAAATTGCTACATGCCAGCTAAATGCATGAATTGTGGTGATTCCTCTCACGCAAAGGACGACTGTCCTGTGAAGGAAGATCCTAAGAAATTTAAATGTTCAAATTGTGGTGAAAACCACAAATCCAATTTTTGGGAATGTAAGACTCGCAAAGCGATCCTACAATCTCGTTCTAACCGTCAGGTAGGAAACGCTCCACGTTTCCGACCAGGTACAAATTCCTCTGCTGTTAACAACGGTCAGCGAGGAACAAATTCTACATTCGTACCCGTAGGTACAAATATCTCCCCTGCTTCAAATGTTTCATCTGTACCTACTCCCCTCGCTGCTAACAATGTTCAGCGAGTTAATGGAGCTACCTATGCTGCTATTGCAGCGGGTAGAAATCAAAATACTAACCAACGTTCTAATGGAAATTTTGACAATTTTGACTTAGGAAGCATTACTGCCCCCAAAATGGAATTTTTACAGAATTCATTAATTGACATGATTTCTGATATGCTTAAATCTAACTCCATGTTTGATGCTATTCAAACTGGAGTAAAATTTGCAAATAATATTGTCATGACTTTAAAATTCAGTAATGGATTTTAAAGCATTAAATATTGTAAATTGGAATGCTCGATCTCTTAAAGATAATGAAGACGAGCTATTT